GGGGACTGTGGTACATATTTTACTTATCAAATAGAGACCTGGCCTCCAGGTTCTCCCAGCATCCCTCAGTCCCTAGTCCTTTCCTCCAATCTTGAACTTTCTAGCCCAGGGGCTGAACTGCCCTTACCTCAGAGGTCCTCCCTGTAATATCCAGACATTTTGAGCTCTCTCTGCTCTGTCTCTCTCTGTCTCTCTCACTCTCCACCCCTTCTCTCTTTCTTTCCCCCTTCCCCCCTCCCCATGGTGACTTCCCTGGCCTTGGTCCTTGAGGCCAGTGAATTTGCCCATCCGGATAACAGTTTCCCAATAAACCTGCCTTTAATATATTCTAATCTGGTTTGAATTAGCTCATTTCACCTGTGGAGAAATAATCCATCAACATGGATAGGGAAACTGAGGCCCAGCAAGGTGAAATGGCATATCCAAGGTTTACTGAGTTTAGGATGAAGCTCTAATACCCAGAAACGGGCCTTTAAAATTAGCTCTTTATTAATTCCCCATGTCGTTGAAATCTTTCAGCAAACAGGCAGGTATGTAATCACAAATCAACAAACACATAAAGGCACTGCTAATTGTTACTGACTGTGGGATGCTCTGCGGTGGGTGTGGGGTGGGGGTGGGGGTGGGGAGCCTGGGCTGAGTCTGCTCTGCTGATTGATGGCCCCGTCCCCCATATTAACAAGCTGGCTAATTGCAGGAAGTCACATCATTCAGAAGCTAGGGTAAGGCAGGAATAATGGCATCCCCGATGGAGCCCGTTGCTCCTGGGAATGAGTCAAGCCATTGAGAACAATGAATGCTTTGTAATCACCTCCAACTGCCCCTGTCCAGCAACACCAGGCCCCAAGTAAAGCCTCTCCAGGTATTTAATAAGGCTGAGCAGGAGTGGGAGTTCATGGAGTCTCACCAGGACAGCCTGCTCACAATCTGTTCCCCCTTCCTCCCCCAGTTAAAGAGTCAGGTAGGCAGGATTCACTGGTGAAAGGATGTCACCAAGCCCCGCCCACCCAAAGTTCAAGGACAAGAGGTCATTCACATTCTGCTTTCAGATTAGTGGATTCCTGGCTAGGGGTGTGGGGGGAGTGAGCACATGGACAGGCCAATGCTCCCTTCCCCATCCCTCCTAGAACCTCAGCTTTCTTTTTTGAGTAGCAACCACAAGTCAGACAATGGGAGGTAACAGGGGGGACAGAGGAGGGAGTATGATCTATGACAATGTCCATCATCAACCACAGGGACTCTCAACAAGCCCCCACGTAGATATACCAATGTGCCCATGAACTCTGCATAGTAAACTGAAGTGGGAACTTAAGGGTTCTTTGGAAAGTCGGTTGGATGGTGTTTCGCTGGGGCAGACACGTGAAGGAACTTTAAGTTAAAGTGGACACAGGTGAGGGGCTAAAGCAAACTCGTAAAGGAACGTTTTTCTGAACCAGACATAGGAGAGGATGTTTTGCTAAAGCAAGCACGTGAAAGGACACATGGTAAAGGATTCTTTGCTAACGACATGCATGTATTGGTCTGCCTTACATTGCATAGTTGAACTGCATTTGTAGGAATCCATAGAGAGAAACACACCAAAAAAAAAAAAAAAGTCTGGTGGTGTGCTGCAGTTTCTTGTCACTTCTGTGGACTTGGGCTGATTGGATGCACGGGCTGCAGCAAGACACATGGAGGACGCTTGATGTTTGGAGGGTATAAATAGGACTCCACAGTGACAGAGGCTGAGCTAGGGTTGCTGGTACAGCTAGCTATGCAATGCTTGTGGGTGTGTCCTTGCTGATCTTCACTTCCCTGAGAGAGAGGCATGGCTAAGAACTTCTGGTGTTCCTGATGGTCTCTCCTGCTGCCTTGAGACTGAGGCCTGGCTGTGTCTCCTAGGTCGTGTCACACCGCTGTTGCTAACTCGACTCTACCAAACTGGACTGCTGTGTATCCGTGAGGTGATTACAAGTGGATTGAGCTGCTGCCACCTGCTAACCTGTGAGCTGAACTGCTGATTTCCAGACAACACAGACAGCAGTTGCTCCAGAGAACCTTTCTAAAGAGGTCCACTCCTCCCAACTCCCTCCCCCATATCCTTCCTTTTCCACTATCTCTGGTGGGGCGGGCGGTGGGCTAAAGGGGGGGGAGTTTAAAGTGTTTAAGAACCATCATTAAAAATAAATTTTGAAAAAAAAAGTTACAGTAAACCATCTCAGAAATCTGCGGGTTCAGGGCTGGGGACACAGCTCAGCTGTTCGAGTGCTTGCCAGGCATGCACGGAACCCTGAGTTTAGCCCTAAGCACCACATAAAACCGTATTGTGTGTCTGTAATCCCAGCACTAAGTGGGGAGAGGTAGGAAGATAGGGAGCTCAAGGTAATTTTCAGCTACATAGTGAGTGAGCTTAAGTCCAGCCTCGGCTGCCTGAGGATGTATCTAAAAACAAGACTAATAAAACAAAATTAGTGGGCTCAGCCTCCCCTGCCCATTCACATTTGTATAGGAAAGTCCTGGGACCTGAGATGAGAAGCCACTCCTAAGTCATAAGCCTTCCTTAGTAGCCGGGCTAGGGCAGGGATGGAATGTCCCACCTGCCACCAACTGCCTCTCTGCCTGACCTCTTGGTGACAGGATATCTTTAGCTCCAAATAACCATTTGCAAGACTCTAAACCTAGAGGGATACTATTATTATTAATTTTTTAATATGTATGGGTGCTATGCCTGCCTGTCTATCCATGTGATACGATACAGGGAATCAAATCTTCTCCAAGTGGAGCTTTAGATGGTTGTATCAATGTGGGTGCTGGGAATTGAACACAGGTCCTCTGGAAGAGCAACCAGTGCTCTAAAAAACACCTCCAGCCCCTTGTGCTTCAGTCCTTTGTGATAGTTATGGGCCAGAATTTATGCCAACACAGGCAAGTCAGAGAGAAGCTACGTGGAAGGAACAAACCTCTTTCCCTTTAAAGACCATAGTCTTTGCCACCCAGCTTTAACTCTGACAAGGAGCATGATTCAGCCTGATGACATTTTGTCTGAGCCTTACTATGCAGACCAGGGACATTAGCTCTCAAAAGATCCCCTGCCATGATGGTAACAAGAGCTTGGGAATCAGTAGATTTATACTATGGCAGCCAGTCAGCTCACCACCAGCCAGCCCACCAGCACCTCCACGGCTGATGACCTTGCAGTCAAGGCTGAAAAGCTTGTTCTTGGAGAAGGTAGCTGAGACAGAGTGCTTTTCTGTCATGAACTGCATGAGGACCTAAGTTTGATCTACAGCATTGCATAGACCAAGTTTGTTGGTCCATGCCTATCATCCTAGCACTGGGGAGAAGGTAGAAGCAGGAAGACCAGAAATTCAAGGTTATGTCTGTTAATAGCAAGCCAAAAAAACAAAAACCTATAATACATAGGCTATCTTTAAAACAAATAACTTAAGGAAGGAAGGAAGGAAGAGAGGAAGGAAGGAAGGAAGAGAGGAAGGAAGAAAGGAAGGCCATACTATGTATCTGGTTCCTCACAGTAAGAACCACTGAGTAGCAACAACCACATGCTGTAAGAACCCATCAGATACCTAAAGCTTCACCATACTGTAGATATGCTGGATTTGAACCTGTATTTTACCAAGGCTCCTTTTTCTATACCCGTAAGCAACCCTGAAAGGTGAGTGCCCCCTTCACAGAGAAAGAAACCAAATCCAAGAGTCTGGGTTCAAGGTCACACAGTTAGTAGGTAGGACAGCCAGGATGTGTGTGACCTGGCCACAGGTTTCAACTCCACAAACACTTCTCACAGCACAATGGAACATTTCCCCCCTGAGGATGCCCAAGTGTGAGGGGTCTTCTGACCATCTGAGCATATTCCATCCCAGTATCAACTCCCCCACCCCCACCCCGGGACAAATCAAACCGCGTAAAACCCAGCATGATTGATGAGGAAATACAAACTGAACAAACACATAGGGGAAATGTTTGCTCTACCTAGTAATCAGACATGCAAATGAGAGCGGCATTTAGGAGCCACTCTCTACCTATATAATTAGCAAGACTGGAAAAAAAAAAGCAAGCAAGCAAAATCCTGTTCTGAACAAGACCTGCGCATCTCCGACCTCCGACAGAATAGACTGATATTATAACCCTGTGGGAAAGTGATCACAAGACCCGCGAATCTCTGACCCTCAACGGCGTAGACTGCTCAAAGAAGAGGCTCGCTGCAACACTGGCTGTGAACATGGGGACACATGTTCTAATATTGTGCAGGAATGGAAGGGCTGGGAAACTGGGCATCTATCAGTTCCTGCTCTGCTAGGCGGCCATCTGAAATGAGAACTAAGAGGTCCAACCCGTAGCAGAGAAACGTGAATAAAAGAAAGGATGGGGCTGGAGCTCAGAGGGCATGCGCATCTTCAGAGTGGGAGGGCGTGGGTTCAGTCCTCAGGACACGCCCCCAACACAAACACCCATCCACTACACAGAGAGGGGAGGGGGAGGGGGAAGGGGAGTGGGAGAAAGAGAAGAGGAGAAGGGAGACAGACTAACTGACCAGCCTGGTAGTGCATGCCTTTAATCGCAGCACTCAGAAAGCAGAAGTCGGTGTATCTCTGTGTTTTTGAGCCAACCCAGTCTACACAGTGAGCTCCAGGACAGTCTGGAATGTATATAGTAAGCAGGTCTTGTTCTAAAACAAACAAACAGGAGAATACAAACTGCTTGTGTGAGCAGGGGTAATGATGCTGTGAAAAAAATATTGTGTGCACAGGAGGGCAGGGCAGAGCTGGACAGAGAGGAAGACAGTTTCAGACTCGGGGACAACGACAGGCTAAGGCCCTTTGCAGCTACTGTTGAGTTGTAAACCTCAGAGAACAGCTTCAAGGGTTCGCGGTCATAGACTATGTCTGAAGATGACACGGAAAGAGAGTCCTATCCCTCATTCCTGGGCCGAGGGTCACATTCCGGGTTGCCACTGGCTCCCTGGGTAGCGGAGAGGCTGTAACAACCCCATCCTGACTTACCATGAAGCCCGGAGCACAAGTGCAGCCCCCAGTGATGCTGTGGCAGTCGGCACCATTCTGGCAGGTGCAGGGTAGCTGGCAACCATTGCCATAGTAGCCAGCAGGGCAGGACTCATTGCAGTAGTGGCCGGACCAGCCTGGTTGACAGGTACAAGCTCCAGTAACTGGATGGCAGCTGAAGAGAGGAAGAAGGAAGAAGAGGACAGGTTTGCAACTGTGTCCCTTCCTCTGCCCACCCCAAGTCTAGTCTGCCCACGGTAGTAAGAGCAAACGAACCCTGTTGTTAAGTTAGTCATGCCTTGTTTACAAGACCATGCGTGGCCATACATATAGTCTCAGTAGTTCCCAGAAATGAAGGCTCTTAGTTAAGTAATTTGCCTAAAGTCATTTAGCAAGGAGGTAACAAGACCAGGGTTACTACCCAGACTTCTGACACCCAAATATGTACTTTTTTTTTTTTTTGAGATGGACTTGTGGTGCCCAGGCTTCATTTGAACTCCCTATATAGACAAAGGTGACACTAAATTTCTGGTATACTCCTCCCTCCACCTCCCAAGGGCTGAGATGACAAACATGTGTCACCATGCCGTGTTTACGCTACGGATCAAACCCAGGCCTCCTGCACGCTAGGCAAGGACTCTACCAACTGAGCTGTAGCCCCTTCTCAGTAGTACACCCCCAGAGTAAATCCCCAATGTACACTCTTTATAAAACTACACAGAGCCCAAAGCATACGGCAGGGCCTTTGTCCCGTGTTTTATAGACTCTGAGGTCCAGAGTTCCCATAGCTCGTGTGTGTGTGTGTGTGTGTGTGTGTGTGTGTGTGTGAACACGTGAGAAGGCAACCACGACACTGGAAGGTCTCCATACAGTAGACTCTTATTGAGCATTGGTAGCTAAAACAAGATCCCAGGCTAGGGTGGCCTCTCCGACAATGGCTGTCCCAAGGGACCCGCTACTTGGGCTTCCTTACGCTCTGTAACAGAGTGAGCCCTTCTCCCTCCTGGATCATATTCACTGTCCGGTTTACACACATAGGAATGTACATTGCTTTTACCATATTTAATCATTTTCTTTTTTTGGTTTTTTCAAGACAGGGTTTCTCTGTGTAGCCCTGGCTGTCCTGGAACTCACTCTGTAGACCAGGCTGGCCTCGAACTCAGAAATCCGCCTGCCTCTGCCTCCCAAGTGCTGGGATTAAAGGCGTGTGCCACAACCGCCCTTCTTTTTGAGACAGCCTTCCGTAGCCCAGGCTGGCCTTAAAGTTGCTGTGTAGCTGAGGATGATCCTAAACCTTACCTTTTGCATCTTTATTTACTTATTTTATGTGTAAGTATGTGGGAACATGGATGCCGCGGCGCGTGTGTAAAGCCCGGAGAACTACTTGTGAGAGCGCTCTCTCCTTCTACCACACGGGTCCGTAGGACTCGGGCCATTAACCTCAGTGCCGAGCAACTTTAGCTGCTAGGCTATCTCACCAGTTCCCAACCCCGAACTTCTGATCCTCCTGCCTTGATACCTCTATTCTTAACAACTGTGTACCATTACCACCGTTTTATGCCTCCAGCTGAAACTCAAACCCAGGGCTTTGTGCAAGCACTCTGTTGGCTGAGCTATGCCCCCAGCCCTCCGTGTTTAATTTTCTCTGTCTATTGACTTGTTTGTTTTCTGTCCACCCACTAGGTTTCAGTTCCCTGGGGGAGCCGTCCTTGTCTGTCTTGTCACCTCTCAGGACCCAATGGGGTTCCCGGCATGTGGGAAACGCTGACCTCACGGTGTGCTTAAAATGAATGAATTAGCAGAGTAATTATGAGAAGACCAGCTAGCCTCTCTTCTGGGGGTGACCGTGGTGTTCTTGTTGAAAATGAGGGGGTGGACCAGAGCAGAGGATTCTGGAATAATAAGTAGCTAATAATCACTTCAGAAAATGTTTAGTCTCATTAATCATCCAGTCAAAACAACAATTGGGTATCACCTTCTCTCTATCAAAACACAGACGAGCTTTTCCAACGCTGGTAAAGGTTTCAAAACAATCTGAGGTTACATATCAGGAGACCTAAAAAATATGCAGATGCATCGGCCTTGTAATTCCATTTCTAAGAATCTATCCTAAGGAAATAACCGTGATTGTGGAGGAAGATTTATACACAAGAGATGTTCCCTAAAGCATTATTTATAACAGTAGAAAATGGAATCAATTTGAATACTAATAAATAATATGTAGCCAGGCTATGAGAGTACCAGGCACACATACATTTCTTATCTTTCACAAACCTGTGAGGTAGGAATGTGAATCTCCATTTTACAGGTGGCACCCAGAGGTTTTGAGACCTACCCAAGGTCACATGGATAAGTGGGTGAGCACATCTTTAAACCCAGCAGAGGCGGGCAGATATCTGAGTTCAACACTGGCCTGCTCTACACAGTGAGTTCCAGGACAGCCAGGACTACACAAAGAAACCATGTCTCGAAAAATAACAACAAAATACTTTCTGCTATAAGCTGCCCGGGTCACAGTGCCTCTTTATAGTAATAGAACCGTTACTAAGACTCTAGGCAAACTCCGCAGGCTGAACTATATCCCAGCCCTACGATTCTATTTCTAGAAACGGGACATCTGACTTCTTAATTTAAATTTCCCTTTGGAAAGATGCTGGGGAGTGATGGCAGACAATGATTTGATTTTTTAAAAATTTTTGCTGTTTTTGAGACCAGCTGTCTTCGAACGCATGGCAGTTCTTCTGCCTGTGAAGGCCTTGCTTCCCCTGGGTGACCTTGCTGTTCAGGCAGTGCTGGGGGAGGCTTGGACCAAAGTCCCCATCACTGATGCACAGTCTGTCTCCTTTGTTATCAGGTTTCCCCCTTTCTTCCTTTTCCCCAGACACAGATTAATCACTGGCTAACAGGAGCCGAAAGCTGCACAATTCAGGCGGCGGTTTCGAGGGGTGGGTTTTTCGGCCTTTCTTTTGCCCTGATGAGATTTCTATCTCTGTGGCATCTGCTGGCTAAATCAAATCTTTCAAAGGTAATCTGCCATCATGGCTCCTGGAATTCATCTATGACAATCTAATTTCGGAGGGAACATTTAAGAGGCCCGACACCCAGACACTGTCTTCAAGGTGAATGATCTATGAAGGAGAGTGGTCTCTTTTGTGTTTTCATGGAACCCACAGAGGAAACTGACACTCACCAGCCTGCTCTTTCCCAGGACGACCATAACTTCTCTGCAGCAGCTAGCCAGAGGGGAAGGAGCAGGGAGAGGCTGTGGGTGAGGGGTCTCTTGAGCTGGAGTTAGAGTCCTGTGTCTCTTCAGAAGGATGCCTGAGACTAGAAGCCACCATTTATCCCAAGTGCTACACAAATTTAGGGACAAATGAAGCAAGCCTTCTAATGACTACCACTCCACTCTACTTCCAAAGAACACAAGAAATGTTGTCCCCATTTGGAAGACTGGCACAGAAAGGAGAGAGGCATATATCAGGGTATTTTCTTAGCTGGGTAGTGAAGTACCAGCCCACCTCCATCTTAGACTTAAAAGACACCTTCTAGTAAAGACAAACTAGGTTTTATCTGTTTAATCATAAACCTCTCAAGGACTGAGCTATGCCCCACCTGTAAACTACAAATGGTTCTGTACTGCCTGTTCCAGGAATGGCAATCATGTCTCTGTTTTAAAAACCATGTTTATAACCATCTTGCAACCCTAGTTTTGTTTCAAAAGGTTATATGCCTGAGTACCTGGTTGTGCCCAACTTGTGACCATGTCTGTTTCAGGAGGTCATTCTGATTAATGTGTCGTGCTTATGTTCTGCTCCTGCAGCCCTGCCGATCTCACCCAACGAATCCCCCATCTGGAAATGCTCTGTGTCTGAGCTATAAAAGCCTCGTGTTCCTCACCTCCAATGCTGACTTCTCAACCCCCCACCACCTTAGGAGGAGGATGCCCATATACACAAATAAAGAAGGTTGCTTTAGTTAATTTGGCCATGATGGTTTGAGTAGTGGTCTTTCTCCTTCCATCTTTGAGATTAACAGTTGATCTGAGGCCAGGATGGAGGAGACCAACCCCCACTCGGTACCTGCAACTTAATTGCCTTAAGATTGGAATCATAGGTTCCCCCTCCTCCCATCTCTCTGTTTGTTTCTTTCTCTCTCTCTCCTTCCTTCCCTTTCTCCCTTTTCCCCTTCTCTCTCTCCTTCCTCCTGTCTTCCCTTGCCTGCTACCTTCCTCCTCGTTTTTTAAAAAATTATATATTATTTATTTAATGTTTATGTGTACACTGTCGCTGTCTTCAGACACACCAGAAGAGGGTATCGGATCCCATTACAGATGGTTGTGAGCCACCATGTGGTTGCTGGGAATTGAACTTAGGAGAGCTCTGGAAGAGCAGTCAGTGCTCTTAACCTCTGAGCCAACTCTCCAGTCCTTATTTTCTTTGTTTTAAAAGATAAGAGCTCCTGGCATCCATTCTGCCCTCCATGTAGCCAAGAATGACCTTGAACTCTGATCCGTCTGCCTTTGTGGAACTACAGGTCTGTGCCACCATGCCCAGTTTATGCTGGGCCTCATGCATGCCAGGCAACTGCTCTACCAACTGAGGTACACCCCTAGCTGCAACTCTTTGCTTTCTCTATATCCCAAGAGAAGCCTCTATCTATGAGTCAAAGCTTCTGGGGGGGGTGGGGTGGGGGAGAAAGGCTGAGCTATGTCCACACAAAGGAATAGGCCTGCTACAAACAAAACCAAGAGCTGCAAGAATTCAGTTAGTCTAGAGGGTCTCACCTCAGATGTCTTGCTTTCTCTATCCTACTTGGACATTTGGCAGCGACTGGAATCATCTTTGGGTGTCAGAACTTGGGAGTGAGCCGGGCATCTGATAGGTGGGAGCCAGGAACCCTGCTGAATATTCCATGGAGCCCAAGACTGCTCTGTGTGACCAACCAGGTGGGTTGCCTAACAGAGACTGAGCAGCACATGTGTCAGGGGCTCGGTCACAGGGCTGGCACGCCAGGAGGACGGGGAACATTTAAAAAGCAAATGGGACAGAACTATCTAGAAGGATGCACTGCTTAAGACGAATTCAGCCATGCCTGCCACTGAAGGCCAGGACAGTGGTCATAGGCAGCCTGCTGGTGCCCTTGAGGGTTCTGGTTTGGGGCAAGGCTCTCCCCAAAGAGGTAGAGCTTTGGAGTCTAAGCAGACTGCCCAGAGCTGGGCTGGCAGGCACCATCCAGGATCTTAAGGATGCCTAAGGCTAGCTCTTGCCTCCCAGTTCCTTAAAACATGACACACATTAAAGACGGTAAAGCAAATAAGCATTAATATTGGATGGGCTGAGATTAGCGACAGAGAAGAGAGAGTCCTTCCAGATTAATAATGCATGGGGGACTCCTTCAGAAGAAAGATAAATTATGCAGCGCGCGAGCTTGCCGGGGAAGGGAGGGAAACAATGGCCTTTTAATTTGGGGCTTGAGTGGATCTCTGTGGTGGGGACTCTTCCTGAATGGGGACCTCAGGAGCCTCCTTGCTTTCTGTCCTTGGCTTCCCAGCAAGCATGGAGTGTCCCCATGCTGTCTTCCGCTGGTGGAGTAGGTGAACTGGTTTCTCATTCCTACTTGGGACCCCTAGATCTATCACCCTACCCTTCAGTTCAGGCAAAAGACCACCTCTTTCAGGATGTCCTTCCTGCCCAAAATGGTGGTCTCTTGTGATATCTTGAGATATTTGCACATATCTCAGGCCACACTAACTGGGACATATGTTGGAACCCAGCAGAGCCAGGTACGTATATTTCTACCCTACCATTTCTCAACCTCTGACATTGGGTGTTTTATACACTTAGTGGTGTGTTGTGGTTTGGCTGATGGAATTTTTGATCGTTAGGACATCGAGCAGGGCTATGAGACATTACTGGAGGTGCCTCGTATTGGAAAACTATGCCAGCAAGTGTGTAATGTCAGTGAATACTCCAAATCTGATGGCCTAAGGGTATCTGGGCTTCCCTCCTGTAACCTGGCCCTGCCCTGTGGGGGCACTCGAGTCATGCACAGACCGGCTACCTTGGCTCTAAGCCCTCTCTGTATAGTCTTCTGAGATGCCACCAAGGAACTATATTTATCTAAGCTGATACGTGCCAAGATGCCCTGCTTGCAGTGACAGGAGGTCCAGGGTGACTTGTGAGAAACCAAACACTGAGGTGAAGAGGAGTCTCAGAGCAGAGGCATTCTCTGCCTGGCCATCTGTTTAGTTTCCACTGCTTGGACCAGCTTGTCTTCCTGGCCATTCATAGTCAAGGAGAAGGGATACCCCTCCCCTTCTACCCTGATAACAGAGAACAGGCATCTGTGGGGCAGGACAGGAAGGGAAAGGGGTAGAGGAGGAGCCTGAGACTGTTTGCTCTCCTGTTTCTCAAGCTCAGTCCTCTCTGGAAGCAGGAGTGAGGCTAGCTACTGTCCCTATATTCTCAACATGTCCCATGTTGTCCTGGGCTCAGAGGCTGATCTCTGTCCTTCCACCTCTCTCACCAGACCAGGGCCTCTGTGGGCCCAGATGGGCTTTCTATGGCTCCAGCCTCTGCTTACGTGTTCAGTATGGAGAGGACTTTCCAAGATAGCTTACCAGCCACCACACCATGAGCCCTGTCACCCCCATGAGCATCTTGGCCCCCATAACTATCCAATCCTAATCCCCTGTTTCTGTGAGTCACTAGGCTGTTCCTTACTCATGAAACAGGTGGCAGGTGACCTAAGGTCTGGTCCTGACTCCACATGGCTGGCATTAGTTCTCACCTTTTATTAGAGAGATCAAAGCCCCAAAAGCCCAGCTCCTTCTTCCAGTTGGCTAGCTGTCCCCCTGGAGGTGGAGCCACAACCTGGAAAGCCTTTCTTTATCAGGGGCCCACCTATCCCATGCCCCAAGCTTACCTGTCCATAGCTCATACCTGATAGTGTTCTCAGTGTCACAGGGACAGGGCAAGGTGCAGCCTGGGCCATGCAGGCCCTCGGGGCATAGCCGTTCCTGGCAGCTGGGGCCCTTGTAGCCAGGCTCACATTCACAGGCACCTGTGGCTGGTGAACATTGACCTCCGTTGTGGCAGTCACAGCGTTGAGAGCACAGGAAGCCGAAAGTCCCAAAGGGACACTCCTCTTGGCACCTGTGGAGAGTAGAGCAGGGTGGAGCTGTGAGCGGAGCCATTGCTGGGCTTCTTGCTGTATCTGCATAGACTCCTCCTCCCTTGGAGTGCCTGGCCGGGTCTCTCCTTCCCAGTCTCCTCCCCCATATCCATGGGAACTGCACCCCAGGTCTCCCCAGCAGCCGGAATGAGCTCCTACTATCCCTGTCATGATGTAAAACTTTTTTTCTTTTTCATTGTTAAAAGCTGTGATAAAGTTGAATGTAGTGGCTTATGCCTGTAATCCTAGCGGCTAGTGAGGCCGAGGCAGGATGCTTCCTTTAGGTTTGGGGCCAGCCTGGTGGGTTCCAGACCACCCTGTGTGATTATGGGCTGTGTATAACTGAAGTCCTCGCAGGCTCCCAGTCTTAGTCTTTCTGCGGCCTCTCGGCAGCGTCTGAGAGGCCAAGGGCTGGAAACCAGTCGGTCCCGGCCGCCTCCTGCCCCCCACCCACCGCGGAACCTTCAGACTGAGTTCTCCCTAACACGGAAGCGCCCAACCCGGTACAGCGTGAGATGAACTCCTTCTGCCATGCTGAGCCGCAGTTCCAGCGGACTGGGCCGTGGTAGATGCGCAGGACCCACAACTCCGCCCAACAAGAACCCACGTGCCCGCGTGCCCACGCGCCGAGCTAATCATTCCCCGCATGTGTGTGCTGTGGATTACATGCTTGAATGTTTGTACCTTTCAAAATTCACGATGAAAGTTTGTTATAGTTAATTGTATAATTAACCAATTTATTTAAAGAGTCTCATATAGACTAGGTTGGCTTCAAATTTACTACGTAGCCAAGGGTGACCGTGAACTTTACATCGTTCCTTGTCCACCTCCTGAGAGCCATGCCTGGTTTAAGCAGTGCTGGGGATTTTTTTTTTCTTCCATTTTTTGTTTTGTTTGAGACAGAGCCTTACTCTGAAGTTCAGTTTGGTGTCCTAGAATTCACTATGTAATCTGGGCTGGCCTCAAATCCACAGCCATCCTAGGGCCCAAACTTCTGACTGCTGGGATTATTCATACGTGCTTTCCCGAGTCTCAGGCAGGAAGGAGCCTCTCCCCTTGTCACGAGGAGCGATACGACCCCTTTCCTGAGGGTTTCCCTTTAGTAGATGTGTTTTCCTCCTTCATCAGTTTGCATAATCCCAAAAACAGACTACTTGCTGTTCTGAGATCAGGGGACTCCTCGAGGCAGGAGCTAGCTCTCTCTCATCAGTCAGTGAGCTCTCAAAATGGAGGACTGACAATTTGTGCTATGTGAGCTCATACAGGTACTTGGGGGTCCCTGCAGGTGATTATGATTTGCCTCGTGCACTAGCAGGGTGCGTGATCTTTGCCAGCTGCAGATAGTTCAATTCTGAGGACTCTGGAGAGGGATACATGGAAGAGCCCTGAGAGGGCCTGGGGTGGCTGCTGTTCGCCCTGATGCTGGTTCCTGTTGCTGTGGTTTGTCAAGTGGTTGTAAGTAAAGAGAAGCTGGAGAGATCCTGATGACGAAGACTGGACTTGCCCCAACAAGGACTCAACATTCCTAATCTGCAGGCAGTAGTCTAAAGAGGTGGACATCCCCTTTCCCCTCTCCTACCTAGTGTTGGGGATTGGAAGGGGTTAGGGTGGAATATAGGTTGGAAGAATGGTAGATATAAGAACTCAATAAAGTTAAAAAAAATACGCCAACAACCCATCACCGTACACATAATTAATTTTTTTGTTTGTTTGTGTTTTTTTGAGACAGGGTTTCTCTGTGTAGCCCTGGCTGTCCTGGAACTCACTCTGTAGACCAGGCTGGCCTCAAACTCAGAAATCTGCCTGCCTCTGCCTCCCAAGTGCTGGGATTAAAAGCGTGCGCCACCACCGCCCGGCTACACATAATTAATTTTGAAAAGGGTGTATCATGATCCAGGAAGGTAGCCAGGAGACCATAATTTGTTGGTACTCTTAAATAAATTTCTCTTACCTGCTGATCTGTCTTTCAGTTCTTATTAAAAAGGTTGTTCCGGTTCTTAAAAGACAAGAAATATGACCCTCTTGCCTTAGTTTCATGGAATGAAAAAGGCTCAAAGAAAGGAAATCTGAAGTGTAATGGAAGCATGAACTCGAGGAATTAGAAGCAGTTTAATTATCACTTGTTTGGAGGTCAGAGGACAGGCTGCAGGCTGCAGAGCCCTTCCAATTTTACATGTGTTCCAGGGATGGAACTCGGGCTTTGAGTAGCAGGCACGATGCTGAGCCATCTCACTAGCCCCTCCCCCTAAGATTTATGCTTTATATTCAAGTGCAACCTTGAACTCCTGATCCTCTTACTTCTATCTCCTGAGTGTCGGTATTACAGGCATGAACCATCAAAGCCTATTTACTCAGTACTGGGGGTACAGAAGGAACACGCCAGGCATTTCAAGTGCAGAGGGGTCTGCACCGTCTCAGGTCTTTACGCATGCTAGGCAAGCACTCTGCAGAGCTACGTCCTCATTTGCTTATATTCTAAGTGTACCCTGTGCCGACTAGTTTTGTGTCAACTTGACAGGCTAGAATCAACTGATGGGAGGGAGCCTCAATTGAGAAAATGCCTCTATAAAGTCAGGCTGTCGGCAAGCCTGTAGGGCATTTTCTTTTTTTTTTTTTTAAAGATTTATTTATTTATTTATTTATTATATGTAAGTACACTGTCGCTGTCTTCAGACACCCATATGAGGGCATCAGATCTCATTGCAGATGGTTGTGAGCCACCATGTGGTTGCTGGGATTTGAACTCATGACCTCTAGAAGAGCAGTCAGTGCTCTTAACCGCTGAGCCATCTCACCAGCCCGGGCATTTTCTTAATTAGTGGTTGATGTGGAAGAATCCAGCCCATTGTGGAGAGGGCCACCCCTGGGCTGGTGGTCTTTGGTTCTCTAAGAAAGCAGGCTGAACAAGTCCTGAAGAGCGAGCCAGTGAGCAGCCCCCCTCCAAGATCTCTGCGGCAGCTCCTGCCTCCAGGTTCCTGCTCTACTTGACTTCCTGCCCTTACTGTGTTTAATGATGAAGAATTGTGTGAAACTGTGAGACAAACCCTTTCCTCTCCAAGTTACTTGCGGTCATGGTGTTTCATCACAGCAATAGTAGTAACCCTAACTAAGACCATACCCATAACTTCTTAGAGGCTCATTCTAGAGGCCAGTGGCCTAAATGAGGACACGTGGCCACACTCCGGTGGACATGGGGGTGGGTGGCATTGTGTATGGGAGAATTGAGATCAGAGAGACTATTCAGGACCGGCTTTGGCAACTAGCGGCCAGGTGCCCTTGTTTCTGCCTTCACTGTTCTGTACTCCGAGTGACAGGAGAACAGGAGAGTGACTGTGACATAGCTTTAGAGCACCTCTCAAGGGAGATGCCTACTGGCCGTCCCCTCTTAGATCCACTGTGTGAGGGATGGAATCTGGCCCATGGCAGGCAGTGAAAAAGATCTGGGCTGTCCCAACTTGCTGGGGCAAGAACAAAGGGAGGGGTTGCTGGGGGAGGAAGATCGGGTGGCAGGCAGGAGAGAGAACGGGGGAGCTTGGGAGAGCGGGGGAAGGGGGAAGGGAGGGAACTCAGGGAAAGGATGAAGAGCAGCTGAAGACCCATGCATGGTCTAAACTGCCAGTCCCTGCTCAGCTTCCAGATTTCTCCACAGATCACTGAGCTCTGCAGGGCTCAGATCTCTCCGAGGTCAGGAGAGAAACTCACACCAGGAGACACCTGCTCACTTGCATTGGAATATTCCTGCCCAGCAGGACAGACGGCTCCACTTAAGAGAGTGTCCCACCCAGCTGTACTCCTGGGGAAGAGGCACTGAATCTACCTGCCCAGAAAAAAAAATCTAAGAATGAAATATTGAGAACCTAATCCATTTGCACAATCAGTCTCTTTTTACTTTTTTTTTCCTAGCCACAATTTAAACAACTTATTTATTTAGAGACCAAGCAAAGACTGCTAATGAATTTTACACAAAGCACACTAATAATCGGCCCGTGAAACAGGAGGGTAATCACAGCAGGGATTAGCTTTCTACTTAAACACCCTTCCTTCCCAACATATCAATCTAATGTGTCCAATATCGCCATTAACAACCAGATACATTGCTCAATTAAATTACAAGTTATGTTTCGTGTTTAATTTGAGCTGGATCCCTCCGATCTGGGGAGACCCGCATTATTATACCCACTCGGCTCTAATATGCTCATGATAATTTGGGGTGGGCTAATGCAGCTGTCACCTACAAAATTAATGGAGGCAATTTTACAAAATATTAAACACCAGGCAGCCTGTTGAGGTGGGAAAGCCAAACACACTCAGAGCTCTGCATAAACCCTCCTGAGGCAGGCTGGGGAAACAAGCTGGAAGGCTCATGGTTTTGGAGATTCTGTCTGCTCTGAGATCAGGGGTGAGACTCGAAGAAGAGACACTCGGGATTATTTCTGCCCTTGGTGAACCTTAAGAGCCAATGAGGCGGCTCTACTGGTAGTGCCTGGTAGTTTGCTAACGCTAGTTTCCAACATCTGAATAAGGCTGGAACACAGTGGGTGGGGCTCATCTGGTCCCCAACATTTCCTTACCTTGGGGTTTGAAGATGTGAAGGGAAGGTGGGCCTAGCACTTAATCCCAGGTCCCCGGGGCCCACACCCTGGGCTTTATATTACATTTTTAAATATAGTAGAACTTTGGGAGAAAGGTCTTCATGTGACAATTCTCATTCAAAGCTTCAGGGCTGGCTACATCATTTGCAAAGCAGCCAAGCACCTGTGACCTTTCCAGTAAGCTTGAATTCTATTGGCTGATGAACAAGTTCAGGGCTAGGGCCTAGAGAAAGGATTTGTGATAAGCATGAGGATAGAGTCTCTTGGTGGAGTGTGCAAAGTAGCTAGAGCGGTGTTCCATTCACTGGAGAAAAAACTCAGGGTCTCGGGGGGGGGGGATTCAGGAGGAGGCTGGCTCCTAACAGATTCGCAAAGCATCACCAGGTTGTCTGACCATGTCACTCAAGCATGCCAGGTGGGCAGGCATACTTCCTTCCATCGAAGAAGGACAGGCCTGTGTGATTGGCAATCTTGTTTTCTCCAGTGCTTAGTCTAAGCTGTGCTTCTCTCACAGTATCTCCTCTCACTTTGTCTAGAAGGGTAACAATAACATTCAGGGTCCAGAGGTAAAACTTGGATCCATCTGCACAGCGCCAAGCAAAAGGCAGGGACTCCTCTGGATGGTTGGTGAAGGGGACCTTGCCCTGGGTGTGTGGACACAAGTGTGGTCCTCTGCCTCCAAGTGTGATCCTCTGCCTCCAAGTGTGGTCCTCCACCTCCAAGTGTGGTCCTCCACCTCCAAGTGTGGTCCTCCACCTCCAGTTCAGCATGGCATCAGATACGCAGGCCTTGCAGAAGTGTGCCCTGGCTCCACAGCTGTCTTCCAATTGGGTCCAGAAGGCAGTTCCTAGGTTCTGTGTTCTGTTGCCTGTTCCCTCTGCCAGGTTGGCTTCTTTCAAGGATGGTATCTCTCTGAACCCCTGTTCAGCGTACTCTCAGGCATTCATGTCACACAGAGTGATGTCAGTATCTTTCAGAGATAACTCAGTTTTTGAATACAAATCTACTTCTATAAGAACTTCAAACTGTGGACACTGACTTTGCTTTCTCAGCTCTCTCAGAGTCCCTGTTTCCTTGTTGGTACAGACTAAAGAAAAGGAGAGGGGTGCTCACCTCCTTCCCTGGTGCAAGTCCAGGGCGGCCAGGTTGGTGGAGGGGTATGCACATATGGGTGAGACAGGGTAGATTTCATATTGCCCTCTGAGGAAAGAGCCAGAAGGCTGGCCAGGGACGGTACTCTCTGCAAGGCTGCTAAGGGTTTGAACAACTGAACATCACAGGCAAGAGTTAATGCTACTTTACCTGTCTCCCATGTATCCAGCTGTACAGTGGCATTGTCCAGTCACATGGTCACACTGGCCTCCATGGTGGCAGGGACAGTCCTGGCTACAGTTCTGGCCAAAGGTTCCTGGTGGGCAGGGCTGGGCACACACTGCTCCCTGAAATAGAATTGAGGACAGGTTTGGTAGGGCTTCAAGGAGAACATGCTGAGGTTATATACTCTAAGAAACATTGGGGCCCCAGGGACCACCCCAAATTCCTAGTGTAATCAGGAGAGCTGGGTATTCCCACTACAGTTAGCTCTGCTGAGGCTAGCTCTTGCACCCAACTATGCAGAGTATAGTTAGTAACTGCTACATATCAGGTGCTGGGTTAGAAACCGGGGGTACAGATTTGATACTTGTCCTTCCAGAGTCCTAGGGAGACCCCGGAGGAAGCACATAGTGTTAATCTTCTCACATGGTTGTGAAGAGAAAGAAAGCTGAGCAGATATAGGGGAGCTCCCACTCAATATCCAGCCATGGAGACACACTCACCCCTGGGCCTTTCCTGAACCCAGCTAGAGAGCAGAGGACCCATAAAGACGTAATGGGAAGGAGGGGGGTGTAAAGAAGGGAGAAAGGGGCAGAAGGGGGAAGAAGAAGAAGAAGGAGGCAGAGAAGGACAGGAAGGAGAAGAAATATGATCTCCATCAGGGCATAGCATCACACATTTTTATAAATTAAAAAACAAAACATTTTTTTAAGCCAGGCAGTATTGGTGGCACACACTTTTAATCCCAGCACTCAAGAGGCAGAGGCAGATGCAGACGATCTCAGAGTTTGAGGCCAGCCTGGTTTACAGAGTGAGTTCCAGGACAGCCTTCTGGAAGACACGGAGAAACCCTGTCTCAAAACCAAAACAAACTAGCATGCAAACAAACAATAGAAAACAAAAACAAAACAAACAAAAACCCAACCCCACACCATCCTTTCCTTTCTGAGATGTATGGCACGTGGACACCTGAGGAGGCTGGGACTTAGGATCCCCTGGAGCTGGAGTTACAGGTGCTTGTGAGCTCTCTTGCCACAGATTCAGAGAGTATACTTGGGTTCTCTGGAAAAGCTGCAGGTGCTCTCAACTACTAAGCCATCACTCCAGCCACCAAAGTTTTATATTTCTAAATCAAAGCCATTGGGAAAAAAAAAAACAGTCGTATGCAAAACCCAGGACTCAAGTTGTTATAACTCGTAGCTAGGAGTTAGATGACAGCAGACCACTTCCTTAAGAGTCTGGAGAGAAGACAGTTTCCAGTCTAGAACTAGCTGCCCAGAAGCACCAGGGGTGTGGCTGAAGGGAAAGCCCTGGTCTTTAGCGCTTCAAGAGAACAAACCAGTTAAAGCAAACTCCTTCTGTCTAGAATTTTAAAACTACCAAACCAAATGTGTAAGTGGGAGATTTGATGGAGACAGTTTCAGATTTGAACAAGAACATGGATACTCTTCAGTAACTAGCTGGAATATCCCCATGCCCCTCATCAAAAGGGAATGCTGGTGATGCAGCCCAGTCAGTAGAGTGCTTGCCTGGCATGCATGAAACCCTGAGTCCAGTCCTCAGTATCATATAGACTGGGTGTAACATACCTGAAGATGGAGGCCGGATGATTAGAAGTTTAAGGGTCATCCTCGACTATACAGCTAGTTTGAGAGTTATATTTGGGTATGACACCCTATTAAACAACACCCCCCCCCAAAAAAAAGAAGAAGAAAAGAAAAAAGGGCTCGGTCGTGGTGGTGGTGGTGCATGCCTTTAATCCCAGTACTTGGGAGGCAGAGGCAGGGAGATCTCTGTGAGTTCAAAGCTGGTCTGGTCTACAGAGTGAAAAAGAAACCCTGTCTTGAAAAACAGAACAAAAATAAAAAGAAGAAGAAGAAAGAGAAGAAAAAGGAAGGAAGATAACTCAAGAAAAAGAAAAACATGGATTCTGAGAACTAGAGACCCATCAAAAGAGAAACAAGAGGAATCCCATGACAATAGTGACTGCACAAAGCCAAGAGCTCAGACGACAGAAGCACGAGGTGTTCTTAATGCTGCCTCAAAACACAAAGGCAAAAACAGAAAGGAAAAAGTGGATAAATGACTGACTGAGAGAGACAGGGAGGGAGGGAGGGAGGGAGGGAGGGAGGGAGGGAGGGAGGGACTTCTGATGTGTCCAACCTTATTGAGAGGAAGTTCAGCTTTCAGTTCAGCCGTTGGATGAATTAGTAGTGGCACACACAGGCATGTTAATGTTGTAGACATTTAGCTGCCTTCGCTTCTTTCTTTTGGAAGCTGGCCTTTACTTTGGGCATCCCCCCTTTTTTATTTTTTTGCTAAAACCCTCCTCCATATGTGGCTGCTTGTCTCCCATGCCAGACCTCCAAGCCAGCTCAACTCAAAAGGCAAGGCCCTCCCTCTCTACTTCCCCATCCTCCTCTGCCAGGTGGTTGCCAAGATTTACAGCTTGCCTGACCTGAAGTTTTTCTTTTAAACATGAATAAAATTGTCCTTAAGATTAAAAAAAAAAAAGACGACTTAACACCAAGTGTATGTGTATGTGTATGTGTGTGTGTGGGGGGGGGATAGAGCTAAATACATAAATTAAAATTTAAGTTTATAAAAAAATTTAAGTTTATTATATATGTGTGTGTATGTGTGTGCATGCATGTGGAAGTCATAGGACAACTTGCTTAAGTCAGTTCTCTTTCTACCATGTTGGTCCCAGGGACTGAACTCAGGTCTTTAAACTTGAGGGCAACTGCCTAACCCACTGAGCCATCTTACCACCCTGACTCTTATTCTGTGGGCTGGAGTCAATAGTTAAGAAGTGGCAGTAAAGCGTGTTAGGTAGAAAACAGAGGAAGATACCCAAAGGGACACAGGCCAGGGTTGCAAGCACTAGTGTTTTCTCTGCCCCCACCTCCAGTATGAGCCTTGAGGTATACACCTTTAAAACACTACGTATCAATCTCAAGTCTTCATCAAACATCTGAGCCCCATCTTGTCTCCTGCCACCCTCTCAGCCTCATGCCGGAGATAATCATTTCTCTTCTGGAGAATGAAGATGATCCTCCAATTAATTAATCAATTTGTTCAACACACAGTTATTAAGCATCAATAATCACCAGCCCCGAAGAAGCTAGTTCAGTCAGGAAAAGCCTGTCAGACCAGAGCCATCTTTCCGCATCATGTTATTGAGTTGTAATGAATTAAGTGGGAGGCTTTCAGCTCAGATTTCCCCTCTGAAGGCACCCAGGGGCTCTGAGTGGATGAGAGGGGCTCGGGAGCCGAGGGAAGGAGCTCGGGAGCCGAGGGGAGGAGCTCGGGAGCCGAGGGGAGGAG